AGATTTGGTGTTATTTGTAGCCCTCATCCGGCCATAAAAATTACAAAACACATAAAGGGGCTAAAAAGAAGATTAATCGAATTACGTCTAAAGAAAGATGAAATAAACCCTCATAACTTTGTTTATGAGGTTGTCTTTTATAAGGCCCATATAAAATCCCTAGAACAAGAACTAGGGAAAATAAGTCATTTTGTTGCTTAATATAATATGTTTTCTTATGCTTTTCAGGAACAAAAGACCATTGATGGCCACTACAAGTTAATATAACTTGCTTACTAATGTTTCTTTTTTAGGAACAAAAATCCAATGATGGATTCCCCAAACAAAGGGAAAGGTCTTTAGGTCCTAAACCCACAAAATCCCCATTTATGGTGGAGAAATACATGAGGTATGGGAAACAAGAGTTACCCATACTTACAAATTCCTACCAGTTTCTTGATAGAGAATCTATAAATGTCAAATTAAATATTTTAATTGACAACATTTGGAATATTCCAAAATACATAGCTCAGAATGAGCAATAAGTCGCTAAAATGAAACAAAACATTATTAGTGCACTGTTAGGTTAACTTCCATAGCATCTCCTTCTGGTAAGGGGTTTACACATTATGTCCTACTTACGGGGCCAAACAAGGGAGTTTATACTTCCTACAAAGACCTCTCTGAGGCAACATAAGACCAGTTTTTGTCTAATTACAAAGGTTTTTATTCCAATGAAGAAGTCCAGATGTCTTTGAAATTGGAAATAATAAATGAAAATAAAATAAAAATGGTCCTTCTGCTTGAACCAAAGGCCCAAACACAAACCTATATAGGAGTCTGTAGTCTTCCTACACAGGTTAACTCAAACATTTTCTTAGCCAAGTTTGGCTTGATACAAAAATTTCTGTTTGAAGTCCATTCTGAAGCCCAAAATCCCAATGAGCTTATTGTCAAAACATAAACTTATTTCAACACTAGGAACCCTGCTTAGAATTCTCATAATATTGTGAAACAGTAACCACAAATTGTACATGCCAGTTAAAATTTGTCATTCGAAGGGCGCTAATTGATTTAACGACCTTCAAAAACCAGTTATACCGAGAGCTTCTGATAAGCCCTCAACTTTTGTTAGAAGTCGGATGTCTCCAAGCTATTTCCATCCCGTTCATAGAAAGATTTCACACATTAACCCCAGAGATAAACTTTGTAGTAAATGAGATACAAGCTGAGCACATGACGAAAGTGTTCCTACACATTACTCTTCCTCAAGAAGTCTCACTCCACTTGATAGCGTGGCAAAACACATTGTTAAGTTATACACAAAGGTAAATCCTGAAATACTTACCTCAACAGAGCATGATCCCTTTAAGGGACTTACTCTTAACAAAGATAATTTTTACCAGTACCAGCTTTGGAAAGCTTATGTAGAAGGATTTAACTGGAATTTCTCCAAAAAGGATATTTCAGATTTTATTCTTCTTAAAGAAATAGCTAACACCAAGCTTCATTGGAAACAACTCATGTGAAACAAATTTCATCTTTTCCCTACTGAAGTCAGTCCAATTCTGGTAAAACATTTTGAAAAAGAAAGAATTTTCAAAGAGATTTATAAAGAGACCAGAATCCATGGACAAAGAACTCCCGGAGCTTCATTTCCCTCTGATGATGAGGAAATAAACTTCGCAGATCAGATGATCTAAGAAGGACTTGAAGACATATCTTATGTATTAGTTTTCAGAAGATGTTCTTAAAACTTCAAACGGTGGAACTGTACAAACTCCGCCTCACCACAACCAATGAGTCTTTCAGATAAAGACGTTTTTATCCTTGAAGATTTTGAGGAACTTCTAATGACATAAGTCATTACGCCATACAACAATATCAAAAGATGACAAAAGTTAATGGCAGATAATGATATCTTATTACTTTGTCATGAGTCTTCTACCGTTAGACGTTGTTAAACCCTTTAAGTCTTGCGTGTTAATAACAGTATGATTGAATAAATCTTTTGATAACAAGTTGGTAGAAATCTTTCTACCAAAATTAAAAAAAAAATTAATTAATTAAATCACTATGTTTGTCTTTTAGTGAGGAAAGAATATCCTCCGTAACTTCCTCCTTCCCCATTAAGTTAACTTCCCCACTAAGTTAACTTCTTCTTTAAGTTTTTGAGACCCATAAGTCTTTAAATGAGTCCCACATTTAAAGTTTAATATTTAATATTTTAATATTTTTGTTTTTTATATAAGGACTAGTCACTTATGCAAGGCAGAACAAGGTCCTTCCCATAGCTCCCCTCTCTCTTCCAATTCTTTCCTCCGTTGTATTATAAGTTAAAAGAATAAAAAATATATTATTAAATATAAAATAAATAATATTTATACATATAATTTACTATATATATATATATATATATATATTTATATCAAAAATACAAATTAAATATTTATTTAAGACATAAATTATAAATCTTTAACTTTTACATGATTTTTTTTCATTATATATATATATATATATATATATATATAAATGTTTAGTTGAAAATATTAATAAGTATAAAAAAAGTTTAATTTTTATAATTATTATTGTAAAAAAATCACATTATTATTAAAAAAATTTAAATATCATTTATCAAATTAATTCATATATTTCACTGACTTCACAGTTAAATAAATAATTTATATTCTATTTTAGTCTTTATATTTTTATATATTAAAAATATAATTTTTAAACGACTTTAATAAAATAATAATAATAATAATAATAATAATAATAATAATAATAATAATAATAATAATTTTTCATTTCCTTTTCTTATTCTCCTATTTTTCCTTCTTAGATGTAAAGATTTATTTTATGATTAAAACTATATAAAGAAGTTCACATAATATATAATATATATTATTAATAATTAACTTTTATTTATATTATGATTCATATAAAATATATTATATATTATATATTTTAATAAAAATTGAATTATATATTTTAATTTTAAAAAAACTATTAATCTTACTAAATCAATTTTGTAAAGTAAAAATTATATTTACTTATATAATATTATATTATTTAATCAATAAGATTTCATTATATCTTATCCAGTTGAGTGAAATTTTTTTAATAATCCAAACATCATTAAAATTAACTCTTTTATTATTTTAGAAATGAAAAAATAACTCATTATAAAAGAGATTTCATCATATCTCATTGTCTTTGAGAGTTTTTTTTATGTCTTCACAATAGAATTGACTCTAATATTCTATTAGAAACAATGAAGTATTTAATTTAATCAACTTAACAAAATGAAAATTATAATTATCTATATATATTAAAGTTTATATATCTAATTAATATGAAATTTTATCACAGCCCTAAACTCGAGCAAGTTGTTTTAGCTTTTAAGTCCAAAAATAAAAAATAAAATAAAAATTACTGGTGGTTATAGATTGGACCAAAATAACATTAGCGTAAATTTCGAGTTTTTGTTTCCTTTATTCCTGTAATTTCTATTTGCACCCCATATTTTTCAAGAAGACAAGGCCTTGAGAATTTTATTTGATCGTAAGGTCAAAACATTTCTAAAGTTTATGGAACCACTAATATGGGAATGTATTCTGGTGTTTTCTGGAGATATTCATCCAAAGTATTGTAGACAAAATATTGGTTCCCGAACATACAATCAAGAATATTATTAAAAAAATATAAGTTTCAGAAAAAGACAATTTAGAAAGTATTCCAAAAATAAACTATCTCAGAATAAAACAATCTAGAATATATTTTTTTTTTTTTCAAGTCCTAGATTTGGTAATCTAGAACAATCTTACGTAAGAGCAAAATGTTGAATACCATTTTCAATTCCTCATTTTGCTAATCATCTTCAACCTCATGCCTTTATATATATATATATATATTCTGAATTATTTATTCTGGAAGAATTTTGTTTAGAATACTTTCTGGATTGTCCATTTCCAAACCTATGTTTTGTTCATGATATTTCAGATCATCCGTTTAGTAACATATTTTTTTCTGCAATATTCCAAGGGATCACTCCATAATACATTCCCATATTACCGATTCCATAAATGCTTTTAAAATGTTATTCCAAAACTTATATTACTTCACAATTTAAAAAATAAAAATAAAAAACAAACTTAAGGGTAATAATATCTTCTTAAAACATATGGCAAGTTAATAGAAGTTTTAGGGATATCGTAGCCACATATCATGTTTTAACTTTAAAAGAATTTGTTAACTAGAAAAATCAATAATTTTCATTTATATTATAGTTTATAAAATAACCTTTACACTATGATTGCATTCCAATTAAACTTTTAAAAATCAGAAGGAATATCTTATACCATTATTTACCATAAAAATTATAGCATGATCTTTAAACCTCTATTATAAAGGAAATTCAAGTGTACAAACAATACCATAGTTACCTGCAAAACATAATTTGAAGCAGAAAAAGTATCAATTATTAGCTGTATTCTAGTTAGCTAGCAGGAAAACAAAAAAAGAGCTTGCTTCGGGTCAAGGTCATTGAGATGAATCATACTAGCAAAATATAATTTGAAGCAGGACATATTCATTTCTTATGCGATATCAGAAACAAAAAAAAAAAAAAAAAAAAAAACCTATAGCACAAATATAATCCAGAAAACAAGACACAGCTAGAAACAGGAACCAGCATGATCATAGTCTGCTGCAACTATATAAAATTGTATATGTCACTCTCATTCTCCTTATCTCGTTCTCACACACGCATACATACTGCTCGCCCATACATTCCCTAATTAGCATAAACAAGCACTCTGGAAATTGCATGAAGATTGTTTCATGGTATATAAACAAACTATGGACTTTATTATTATATTTCCATCACATCTTACAAAGGTAAATGAATACAATACACTTCAGGACATCTGTGTGTTAATACACAGTTTGTATATATAGAATGAGAGAGAGAGAGAGAGAGAGAGAGAGAGAGAGAGAGAGAGAGATATTACATCTTCTAGCTATTCTTGTTTCTTTGGATATTCCCTCGGTCCAAATATTGTGGACCCAATTCGCACATTAGTACTACCCATTTCAATCTGGAAAGGCAAAAATATTTATCAACAGTTGCATGTATACACAATTGATTAAGTGTAGAAGAAATCAGTCAGTTGAGAAATCTTAAAAGTAGTACAAAAGAAGACTCTAGTAACTTATCCATCAATTAGTAGTATTTTCAAATGCTTAACAAATCACATCCAATACTAATTAAAAGAAATGTGGTAGTGTCATCATAACCATGTATCTATAATATGAAAACTTTGAAAAATGCTAGCACACTCTCTAAGACTTTATTATTCGGTAAAATTCATGTAATAATGTGGATCTCACCCTATTTGATGAATTTCATTTATGATTTAGTGGGATCTGTCTGAATTCCATTCAATAATGAAAAATGTTTTAGAAAGTGCGTTATTAGCATTCTTCATACAATATCATCATCACCGCAAGTATCAAACAATACATACCCAGTGACAGGTGCAATCATGCAATGCAACTATCAAGAAAATTATAATTGCTAAATAACTTAAGCACACTATCCCATACCGCTAACTCAAAATCGCCAGACATGCCCATTGACAGTTCACATTGCTCCTCGGGCATTTCAAGTGCCTTACATACTTCAGTTCTGCAATTTGACAGGGTCTGATTTGTCACAAAAGAGAAAACCTTAGTAAATAGGAAAGTTGAATTTGAAATACAAGGCACATAAAACTTTACTATATAGCAATAAAATGATGGTAAAATACAGATCAAATTTAACAAAAAAAAAAAAAACAATATTAAGACAATAAATGAAATACAATTCTTAACTGAAATGTTCTGACAAACAAAAAACGGATCATTTCAAGGTGTAATCCAAAAGCTTAAGAATATAAGAACAGAATCTGTCACCTGAAAGTTCTGTGGGGTTGAGGTATAGTCTGCCATTCCTATTGTCATTAAGCCAGAGAACACTAGGTTTGGGCAGCTCAATTTCACATGTTTTGCAAGCTCAACACAATTGGAAGGATCAACACCAGATTTGGCTGCAACAATATAAGAATCCGTACAAAAAAAATTATTTAAAATATGTAAGAAATAAGAGCATTATGTTGCGGCAAACGATGCAATTCGAAGTACTTGAAACAATGGCAATACATAATCAAAGAAATGATACATTGTGTTAAAGCTAAAATTCTCCAATCCAATAGCTATCAAACTATCTTAGGAGTGACTGATTAAGTAACATTTATGTGCCATTATCTTAAATGAATTAATAAAAGTTGAATGCAGTACAAAAACCAACCGATATAAGGGGAAATTATTTGAATTATTATATTCTAATTTATGGAATTCCATGGATAACATTAAAGAAATAAAAATGAATCATAATTCCTGATTCCAACTTAATAAGTCTCAGTCTGGGAAGACAAGCCAGAAACATAAATACACAAGTCTATATGTCTACACATGAAGGAGTTGCATTACCTCAAGCAAGAATATGCCTTACATCCAAAGGGAGTGGGGAAACCTCAAAAGATCAAAAAAATGTAACAAGGAGTTAGAGTAAGTCATTATTTTAAGTCGAACTTACATTCTTCTCCGCTGGTATTTACTTGCACCAAAACCTTCAGAGGATCTCTTCCAAGGGTTGATACCATACGATCAAGATGATTTGCTATCTGCAGTTCCAAAGGTACAAGAACACTTTAAAAGTCAAATAGCTCATGGTATTAATTAGAATATTATCTGTAACAAAATCAGAAATTGAAATTTAACTAGTCATTTGCTAGGTATAGTATAGAACTTGTCCACAGCAACAGCAATGCAAAAAGTAGTTAATAATTGAGGAAAATATGAAGACAATTTTTTCTAGAGTCATTCAATTTTTATTAAAGCATAAAATAAAATAATTAGCAACAAATTCATATCTCCAAGACCTACATGTAACCTTGATTTTACATCTCTACCTTCTGATTGTCCACACTCTCAAACATGGCCAGATTTGGAACACCACCTGCATAGTGTATGCAAGGTTAACGTTCAGCTAATATAAGGGTGCTGATGAAGAGGAAGACCCGAACAAGCTCTAACAAGATAATGCAAGTATAGCAATATTTTCAACAATCACAGAGCCAACCGAAAAGATGTACAAAACTATGTACCAGCTCAGATAGCAAAATTGATTTGGCATCACCATTCAAACACCTTTATATTGAAATTTAGTCCTTATTTCATCTCTACCATTTGTTGCTAATGCAACACCATGAGATTGGTATGGCGTGGTAATGTGACATATAAGGATTATAATCATCAAGTAGAGGAATCAAAAATAGTATTTGAGACTGATATTAAAATCATTCATATGGAACCAATTAAAAATCAGGTAACATGTAGGAACCAAAGATTTTTAAAAGAATGTGAACAAGTTATAACTTTGAATTTTTAAAATACTTCTAGCGGTGTAACCTTCTAAAGCACTCTTTAAACCAATGTGAGATGTGTGAATATACTTCCAGTTATTTTTTCAATAAATAATATAGGCATTGATAGTGTTAATTATTTTCACAATGTTATCCAATCACAAACTGCATTTATGATAATTTTGTTAACTTTTATTTTAACTACCTTTAAACTTATATCAAAGACAATTTCTGATTAGTTGACATGACGTAACTATTAAATTCTTAGTTATTTTAAAAGAGAGTATTTTACCAATGTTTCAACTTAGATTTATTAAAAGGTAAATAGTCTAGCAGTATCCAGTCATAGTGTAAAGAGTAAGTTTGTTAACTTTTACAATATCTATCATACTCCCTCTAGACTCAAATATAACAAAAATAATTAGCTTCCCTCTGATTCAGTAAGTCAATAAACGTAATTTAATTCTTCTAATTTCAATTTAAAAATATTTTATTTTCTTAAATGTCCTTCATTAAAACTTAATATTGTGGATAAGAAAGAGTCATTGAGAATAAATCCTAATCGAACAAAGAATGTTCTAGGAATGATATCATTAAATAGATTTAAAAGAATGAAATTAATTAGACTTCATTATATTTAAATTCACTATACATGACAGATTTGTTTACTTATATTTTAATCCATAGCATTACCTACCGTAGGTTGACACTAAACTCTGTACTAAAATACTCCCAAAGGAGATGGTTTGCTAATATAGTGCTTCTAAAAAACAAGGTAGTTCTCCATATATGGAAAATTAGAAGCTCTGATATGATGACCAACATTAACCTCCAGCAATCAAAGGCTTCATTTCCTATCCAAATCCTACCATCCTAGTGAAAGCATAGAAGGGCAATCATTCTAAATCAATAAAGAAAATAAATAAATAAATTCAAAAACAAAATTCTTAAAAAAGATTACCAAAAAGCGTTTTAACTTTGTTGCTTTGCAAGTGCCCAATGAAATGCCACTCAACGTCTTGTGGAAGCTGGAGGCATGCCCCAAATCCAAATCATTAGAAATTTCCATTCACAAGGGAGCAAAACAACGTAGCATTTATAATTTTAACTCTAAAACATCAATTAAAAATTGAAAAAAAAAATGAAAGAAATAAGAGTAAAAAAGTAATTATGCAGAACCTGAGGAGCTTTTTCAACGATTTCTTGGACGTAGTTTTCGCCGAAGCACCGGTGACCGGCGTCGTAGAGTTGTTGAATCAGAGTGACGGGTTTCGTCTTGGAAACCGCCACGACCCGGACCCGGTCGGGTTTGGAGCCGGATCGCTCCGCCGCCTGCTGCACCCGGAGCATCACCGACCGTAACGCCGTCACAGCGAGGCCCTCCGCCACCATCGGAGAAGTCATTGATTCGGGTATCGCAAACAAGTGGCGCGTTGTCTGTGATGTATTGTGGGTGGGTGAACACTGAACACATAACAAAAGCGCGAGGAGCCAGAAAAAAATTAATAATTAACATTAATGAAATAATTTATATTTACAAATGTATCATATAATTCTATTTAAATAAAATATATTTTATTCATAAATTATTAATCTTTAAAATGAAAATTAATTATTGCTCCGTCTAAAAATGAGAATAATAATAATAATATAGTTGGCTAAGTTATTCGTGTAAAATTTTCGAAATATTTGGATAGATTAAAAAAAGGAAAATATATATAAATTATAGATTATAATAATATTTATGTTACTCTTATTTTACTTGGTAAGTAATGATTGATTAACTCCCAATTTTTCTCTTTAATAAAGTAATTTGTGAAATAAGTTTTAAATAAATAATATTTAATTTTTATATTATTATGGTTTTTAAAATTTGAATTCAACTTGTTTTAAAAAAAATTGTAATTTTTTTTACCAATTATTTTATTTGTTAGTAGGAGCAAATAAATTGTTCCTTCAATACATTATTAATTTTTTGTTGTTGTAAATATAGAGTAGATTTATACACACGTGTATTAACATCATCTTAATATGGATCCGAAAAAATAATTGACTTTAGACAAAAAATATGCTATTGGGTCTTTTATTTTTATTTTTTTCAGATTTGAGTTTGGCTTGTTACTTTCAAAATAATGAATTAATTATTAAACTTAAAAATGCTAATTTAACCTTTTTGAAATGTTAATTTCAAAACTACAAATAAGGTCTTCAAACCGACGTTGAAAGTCTGATTTTTCAAATTAAATTTTTTTATTTATTTCCAACCTTTCCAACCCCTCTATTTATATAGAAATCCCCCTCTCTTTTATATTATATTTTTATTAGGTCCCTCTCTCTTTTATATTATATTTTTATTATTTATCATATTTTTTTTAAGTTTAAAGCATTACCAAATTATTTTTTGTCATCGACGTGATTCGAACCCAAGACCTTAGTGTTGGAGGTCGATACTCCAACCACTAAACTACTCGAATTTTTTGATAGTAAATTACAAATAAATTATATTTATATACAAATAAATATATATCCGTGTAAATATATAAATACAAATATATTTATATATTTTGATATATTTATATAATTATATATTTATATATTGGATGTGAGGGCACGCTCGAAGGTGAAAGTGTGTGTCGAGTGGGTTTTCAAAATTTAATGCCAAATTTGTGAGCGAGTCTATATATATGGGTTTGTAATATAATGACAGAATATAATATTTATAATTTATTTATATAATGATATAAAATAAATTTGAAAAACGCATCATTCGCTCAAGTGACACATTCGCTCAAGCGAAAAATACCAATTTTCGCTCAAGCTAGGCTTGAACGAGTGAATTTCGTGAGCTTTAACGTATTTTCACTCAAACGAGAGTCAATCTCACTTTTACCCTCGATCGTGCCCTCACATCCAACATAAAAATATATAAATATATTTGTATTTATATATTTACACTGGATATATATTTATTTGTATATAAATATAATTTATTTGTAAATTATTATCAAAAAATTATAGTAGTTTAGTGGTTGGAGTATTAATTTTCAACTCTAAAATACTATATTCGAATCCTATCAGTGACAATTCTCTAACTTAAGTGAATTTTTCTTGAAAAAAATAAAAACACTTTCCAGAAAATATATATAAATATATATATATATATATATATATATTTACGAGATATATATTTATTTGTATATAAATATAATTTATCTGTAAGTTATTATCAAAAAATTACGAGTAGTTTAGTGGTTGGAGTATTAGCTTTCAATTCTAAAATACTAGGTTCGAATCTGTCAGTGACAATTCTCTAACTTAAGTGAATTTTTGGCTGAAAAAAAATAAAAACACTTTCCAGAAAATATAAATAAATATATATTTATACTGAATATATATTTATTTGTATATAAATATAATTAATTTGTAAGTTATTATCGAGAAAATTACAGTAGTTTAGTGGTTGGAGTATCAACTTTCAATTTTAAAGTACTGGGTTCGAACCTTGCCAGATTACAATTCTCTAACTTAAAAGAATTTTTGGTGAAAACACATTCAACGTCGGTTCGGATGAACCGACGTTGAAAGTGCATTTAACGTCGACTCAACTTTAACCGACGTTAAATGGCGACGTTAAAAGCATATTTTGTAGTAGTGTTTATATATAAAAAACCAAAATCATATATTTTAAATGTTAAAAAAATAATTCACAATAAATATATAGATAAAAATAAATTTGAGAAAAATAATATAATAAAAGCTATATTTTTTTCTTTGGTTTTATCATTAATTTTTTTTATTAAGCCATAAAAATAAGAATTATTCTAATATATTCATAAATTTCATATAATTTAGAAATTTTATATTAAGATAAATGATAATTTATATACAATTTTTTTCTTTTAACTTCCCTAAATATCTTTTAAAGATAAAATCATAATAACCTATAATTTCAAGTGATAATAGACATAGATATTTTCGTTCATAATAAAAAGAAAATATCACTAAAACTACTAATCAACTAATTATATTCATAAACAACTTTAACTCTATAATCTTATATCTAAAACTAAATTAAATTAAAAATTTCATTTTTTTCTAATAAAAAATAACCTTCCACTAATTAAAACTTACATAATCTATAGATTATTTGAGTTTTCGAATTGATTAAGTTTGATTTTTTGAATTATTGAGTTAATTCATATTAGATCAATATTAAATTTAGCTTTTATTTTTATAAAAACATAATCTTTTATATATTTTTTTAAATTTTTCTTACTTTTTAAAAGTCTATATAATTTAAATTCGGTCAATATTAGATAAAACTTTTTTTATTTTTTTAAGTCATCTTTTACAATATTTAGACAATTATTTCAAAGTAAATTGCAACATAGAAAACATTATTGTTATTAAATTATAATTATTCTAATTTGCTATTAAATCACAAATTCACAAAAATGAGATAGATAAAGAAGAACGAAAAGTATACGAATCATAATCATTAATGAATTATAAGCGTTAGATTTAAAAGAACTAAAGTATACGTATTAAAGATTAATTTTTTAATATAATTTTTTTATACAAAATATAATATATTTTTTATTTTATGTTAATTTATATTAATTTCAAATAATGATTATTTTATCATGTTTTTATATTATTTTAACAATTATTTATATTATATTTTTTATATATTTTATATTTATAATTTTCATTCTAAAATATTAATCTTTATTATTAATTTTTATTAAAAAAATTACTAATAAACTTATTATTTTATAAAAATATTATTTTATTAAATTGATTCAACTCAATTCATTTTTAAATTTCTAAACTCATATTTTCATCCACTTCTAATTTTAAAAACATTGAATATTTGTGATAGTATAACACAATAAACAAAAGAATTAGAAAATGACTCAATATGCTATTGAAAGAAATCAAAGTCAGTAAAACACATGATTCAACAATGCATGACAACCCAATGGGGAAGACTCTCCTATACCTTGGATGAGAAAAGATGAAAAAGAACAAAGAAAATACAAGTAAGAGCAATAAGATCTTAAAGGATAAAAGTTTCCAGAAAAAAATGAAGAACACTAAGTCAAAATATCTACTTATGTGAATAGCAAATTAATAGAATATTAAACATTTTGGCTAATCTATTATTAATAGAATCAAGTAATTTTACAAATGGTTATCTTTGTACATGTCTTCAACATTAAAACTCACATGCTAAAATTTGTAACAAGGGTCAAGAATATTATTAACACTACTCTACTACTTATGATACTTTTGTCTCATGTCATATCACGTATAGGGGCCAAAATAGTGTTTAAATATTCATGATCACAGTGTGAAGTGGAAGATGAATAACAATCATATTTTTAAGTCTCTTTTTTTAAAAATGTGTTCCCACATCTATTTTTAACAATCATACATTTCTTAATCTTTATTCTTTTAACACTTCTTCAACTATTATATAATTTTTATGAAATTAAATAATATCACTTGTCATTTTTTTTAATAAACAAAACAAAGAAAAAGTGAAAGATATCTTTGGAGACAAATAAATGCATGTGGACACCCCATCAGCACGAAAATCCACTGGACGGAGCTTCTAAATCCTGCATTCATGTGAATACGCGCATTTCCAGGAAAAATCCAGGTTACTTTGAATTCTGATCTCGATATCTTCGTTTTCAGAAACAATTTAAGTAATCTTCTCCTCCTCTATTTCTTATCTTCAATCATAAGTTTTCAAATTCACGCCACTTTATTTATCCTACACTCCACATTATTCAAAAACAACATTTAATTTCTTCAACTTTAGTCCTCGATTTTTACCAAATTACCAACAAACTCTTGGAACATTTACCGAATACACACACTCAAGTTATGGTAAGAACTTGATGTGTATATAATATACAGTGATTTGGGTTCTTAACATACATAAAAAAAAATTTATTACAGATAAAATCAAAGTAACAACGAGTTTTTTGGGCATAATTAAATCGTGTTATAATTAAAATAACAATAGCATGGTGCTTTTTCAAACCATATAAAATCGCGAATGAAGGAATATAACTGAGACTTGAGAAAAGGAAGATCAAGTTTCTTGATCAATTATAATTTATATTATTGAACTTTTGTGTATGCATATAAGAGCAATTTTTTTTCACAGGTCAATAACTTTGAACTATAAGGAACACCAACCTCTACAATCAATCTCAAAGAGTGAGTTAATTTCCAATAACGCAATTGAAAACAGAAGCCATTGTATTGTCTTACATTCTCGTAAAACCGGGTCTTAGTTATCTTGCTCTACCCAATAAATATAAGAAGAAAATAAGAAAATAATACAGAACATTAATGTGTGATGAGATAATATATATATATATACTTAT